ATGCTTTGAGATGGAATTGAAAAAGTGTGCAGCCCAGTTTACCTTAGTTTTGGTAATGAGAGCGTTGATGATGAAGGCTCTCTCCTGGGTGATGTCATCGGCATGACCTCCACTCCCACATTCGAGGCAGGCGATGACCAGTTCCAAAATCAATTTGTAATCGTTGTTCAGATCTGCTTTCTTTGCTGGGCCAGAAGGAGTTCGCCCAGAAATTCCAATGATGTTCCAGTCTAGATTTTTGACTGGAAATTTCCCAACTTCAACTCTAGAATTGGGAAGGCGAAGCTTTCTTCCCAATTTCTTCTGCGAAAGCTTCACCTTTGAGCCTCCAACAGTGGACTTGATGACTGGAAATGTGCTCTATGGATTTTTCTTTGACTGAGCAGATTTGATTTCTCCATTTCTATAGAATTCAAGAACTTCTTCCTCGAATTTGAGGCGAATCTCCATTTGAAGAAATTCGGAGAGTTCTTGAGCGGCTATCATCTGCAGATAGTTTTGGAAGAAAGTTGGAGATGAGCACTTGGCTTCTAACTTCTGAAAGTGGACATTTGCACCGACAACCTTCATTTTCTCAGAAATTTGGGTGAAAATTTGAGAAATAAAGGCTTAGGGTTCTTGCAGATTTTTGAGAATTTTTCGCGAAGAAGATGACAAAGAATTTTTGAGTGGGCGGTTGAGATCTGAATAGTGGCGATTGGGATTTAATGCGGGCGATTTATGCGGCTAGTGGCGATACTGTTCCCAAGGCCACGTTCCCACCCATCATTTTGACAGACGTGGAAAGTGAACTGCCACGTGCACTACATTCAGTCTAATTGAATTAGACCAATTTTGTGAAGCAAATCGGAAAACTTGGCTTCACTTAGTGGTTTGGTGAAGATATCCGCCAGTTATTCTTCAGTTGAGATATACTCAATTTTGATATCTTTCTTTTCCACATGATCTCTGATGAAATGATGCTTGACATCAATGTGCTTAGTGCGAGAATGATGCACTGGGTTTTGAGAGATGGCTATGGCACTTTGATTGTCACAAAAGATTGTTACTTCCTTTGTTTTGACTCCATAGTCCAGTAATTGTTGCTTTAGCCACAAAACTTGAGCACAGCAACTGCCAGCAGCAATGTACTCTGCTTCTGCTGTAGATGTAGAAATGGAGTTTTGTTTCTTACTGAACCAAGAAACAAGATTTCCACCAATGAATTGACAAGTACCAGATGTACTTTTCCGGTCAACTTTGCATCCGGCAAAGTCAGAATCTGAGTATCCCACTAACTCAAATGAATTGCTCTTACCATACCACAAACCCATGTTCTGAGTTCCTTTGAGGTATCTGAGAATCCTTTTAGCTGCTATCAGATGGCTTTCCTTTGGCTTTGACTGGAATCTGGCACAAACACCTACTGCATATGAGATATCCGGACGGCTTGCAGTAAGGTA